AAAGTGACAGCCGAGCATGCCAGGGCTCATCCTGTCGGTGTTCTGGCTGATACTCCGAAATGCGATCTGACACACACCTTGAAAACGGGTAGTGTGGTCCGATATACCGGTTAATTCAGGATCCTTAGGTGCCGAGTCTGGTAGTTGGGTAGGCCTGGTCTTGCTACCCTGCTGTACACTCTCTGAGCAAGTAACCGACGCCTAGCAATTTTCACAGACACATTCTTTTGTGTGCAATTGTTCCACTGTGTTGTCAACTGACAAGCAGTGTCGAACTTTGACAACCTGGACATCAAAATCAGTCGTCGGCTGGTAATTTAGGGTTATGATATCCTTAAAATCATGCACCGATAACTTTTCGCCATTTTATACGTTTATATTCTGCTTTTATCCGCTATCTGTCTTACCGAACTTGATTGATATGGTTTTTTGTTTCGTTACTGAAGGTTCCCATGGCGAAGACCGGTTTAATAGTTATATATTGCCTGATGCTGAGCCGTACGGTAAGTATTAATTGATATTTTATAAAATTAATTTTATTTTTGATTCGTGTTTATTGTGCATGTAGTCAATGTTTATGTAAATGGAGATACGTTAGGATTTCTCTCTTTATCTGCCAAGATTATGCAGAAAGGGAAGTTTGGCGGCTGAGTCAAACGTCGTTTTATGGCGACGGTCTATAACCTAGTTCCAATGGGATTCGCTATGTAGTTTTGGCCATACTTGTACAAACCTCGGATTGAATGCTGCATGAACTGACGAGCCTCGAATTCAATGCTGCACACAAAATTGCGGATTCAGTGCTACATCGGCAATTGGTTGTGCAAGGAGGCGCGATGTCAACTTTGATCAAGTCTGTTATGTAATCTATTGATTCAGTATCACTCAAAGCATCAAAAGCAAACACACTCTCTCTTAAAATTCTCTTTCTAATTATTCTCCGCCTGTGAAATCTCACAGGATTTACTGCCAAACCAAGCAGGTTAGCCATTTTTGATGATTTAACAGCATGATAGCAGATGTATCCCACCTATTTCGAGCGGACAACTTTATCCTCTGGATAAGCTGATTTATCCCCTGGATAACGCTATCCACTGTTGATGAAACGCACTATCCTCTGGATAGCTCTATCCAGATGATAGCGGCCATTTTTATCCAAAGGATAGCGCTATACAGCCTTGATGAAACCGGGCCCAGGCTTCTATTTCTGGTCTACGACCAAAAAATTAGGGAAAACGTGGGATTAAGTGCATCGTGAAACTTTTGGAGGTCACAGACAGCACGTGGAAATTTTCCGACATGATCAACAGCCGCTGCGTGCGGTGTACAAATTCTCAAAAATGTTAAAAGTACGACATACCAACGTTCGCCTGTCGTGCGCCTGTTCTTTTTCCCCACTGCGGTGCGTGCGATGCATGTGGTTAAAGCGCTCGATACACGTATATATTTCTTGCTCACTACGTGCTCGTTCCGCATTTCCGCGCACCCACCATGTTGAATTCACGGGCTTTGTGCATGTTGAGCGAGTAGCGATTACTCCATGCGTACGGACCGTGAGATTAAAAGAAGGGGCATAACCAAAAAGCATTGTTTTTTGCCACTGATGTCAAATTTTAAAAATACCTAAAAGGACAGCAAAGAGCAAGAGGGGGAGAGGGGGATCGGAGACAAGCCAGGTATGATTGAGCTCACCTTCTTTGAACACTGCTGCGGATATAATGATCTCCTCAAACATGCACTGTTTTTATAACCCCCCCCCCCAAAAAAAAAAAAAAAAAAAAAATCTCAACACGCAAGACAAGCAACAACCGTAGGAAATCATCAAGACTGCCCTACGTCTACTTGCGTTGCCCTTTCGTTGCCTGTACTACTTGTAGGCATAACGTACGTAGTACACGATGCTTGTATTTTGCATACACGCGCGGGACACGTGCGAAAGCCTGTCAGGCGCATAGGTACTTCTGACGTGCGGAGGCTGTGCTTCTCTCGTACTTTCCACGCATTTTCTTCTTGCACACTCATTGCAATCATCGGTTGCATGATTTTTTCCCTACGATGTAGCTGCGGTTCATCCAGACGGAGCCCCCCCCCCCCCCCCCCCCGCAAAAAAAGTTATCCCCACCAAACATTCAAATGTTATAAATATATTCTTCATATATTATAGCTAAAAGGAAAAAATATTAAAATGCTAAATATGAAACAAGTGATTTGTAACTAGAAAAGTTAAAATTCCATGGGTACAAGAATGCATATTTATTATCCTTTTTAATTTATTATTCTGTTTTTCTTCAATTTTTGAAAAATAATAGGAAATAATGGGAAAGCAACAGCAAGTGTTTTGTTGGGCTTGCTATATAAGACTATTTTAATACAAAGGTCAAGGAAGATGATTTCTAGAGCTGAAAATGAGATATGTAGCATTTTGACATTGGAGAAAGATGAATATACTTGCTTTAAAAATTAGTAATTTGCACCAATAATTTCACCAACAATCCTTCAAATACTAACAAGATATACGTCACAATGCAAACTATGTGCTAAATAATGGTATACTGACTAAATATAAAATAGGTATTTTTTTTCATACAAGTCCAAACCTCATGAGTATGAAAATGAAGATTTTTCTTAATGAAAATCTGACAGAGGAGTCACCTTTTAGGGGAGTCAGGTTTTGATGGTACTTAAGTAGGCCATGTCTCGTCAAATACAGCATCTTTAACTTCTCCATTTATTTTACATGAAAATTGCAATTCTTTAGGAAAATGCAGTATAAAATCGAGTACCAAATTGGGAACTAAGCGGTACACCTCACCAGAAATCGAGCCTGGCACCTTACAAGCAACTTCGGTAGACCTCCTGCCTGAAACCTTGCCAAAGACATTGGCGGATGCGGAGTGTGCAGCACATGACAAGCGTAGGACCCCCAGTGACCGAATGGATGCCTGTATTGACCATCAGCTTTCAGATGTCACGACACAGCCATTGGATGTCCAAGTTAGGGGGAGTGTTAGGGGGAGTGATTACGAATATTCATCAATAAGCGACACCCTTTCTGCATCGTGCAATGGAAACAGGTAAAAACTACACAGTTATATAATATAATTACAGGTAGTATAAAATATGATCTTCTGTTGTGGGAAGTGAGATCCAATCGAGCTCTATGTTGACCTATGGTGCAGGGGGTCCTTAGATAACCTTTTTCCCCCAAACCGTGTCAAAACCACCTAAAAAGATGCTTATACATCTTAAAAACAAACTACAAAAAACCAAAATAGTCTATCTCTATTATCAGAGCTGCTACTTGGGTTTTAGTATTTTGGAGAAAAATCGCTAAAACTTACCCTAGGTTCTAGATTACGGTATTGCCAGCTCGATCTTGATTTCATATATAATCCATAGTAGCAATACCAGGCTCTAGCGAACAGCGGCAACTCGGGGCCTTCTTCTTCAAAGGTCTGCCTGGGGCGCTTCCATATTTGGAGGTCACACGTCACAATGTGTCCGCCTGGATCCATATTTGGAAGTCATAAGTCTCGTACGTCACAGGTTTGGCCGCCTGGAGCTGCCTTTCCCGCCTTGCGCTGAAGTCTCGTGCAGGCGAGACAAGAAGCAATTAAAGTGCCTGACGCGGAGTTGGAAGTTTGAATTGAAAATATCTTGCAGTCGAAGGTCAGTGCCACAATACAAGCAACATTCTGCTGTAAAAACTTATTTTTGTGTAGCCATTGCGCAGCCCTTATAGTGGTATCGGGCATACAGTGTAACTGTCAAATTTGGTCGGCACTACTTGCGTCCTATCATATGCTGATGACGTCAGTGGCAGCCAGGGTACTAATACAACATCGATGCTGCCATCAATGCGAAATTACAGTACACTGGACTGAAACTTTTCTTACTACAGACTGGTATATAGTTAATAAATCTGGTATGTCCAGTTCAGTTTAGCTGTTCAGTTACGATAGCCCTCCCTCTCTTCTCTCTCCCCCCCCCCCAATAAATAAATATACCCATTTCTAAGTTTCATGGTTGTGGTATAAAAGAAAAACAAATATACAGAAAAATGATTTATTGATACAAAATGCAGTTTGATATGGATGCACTAAGTATTTTTGAACATATATACTGTAAAAAAATAAGACAACAATCTGATCATATTTACATGTTCAAATAGTACTTTTATATTACACAGTACCAGTATGCAAGTTATTTAAATGCAATTTTGGTAATTTCAATTTTCAAACTGCAGTAGAACATGCATGTACAGTATTCCCGTTTCTTATAACATCAGTTCTCCACAAAGAAATTGAAGTTTGACTTCAAAAAGTTCCATATGGCACTGTTATCAAACATATGAACTACATGTATGAAATATACATGTACTGGTTTCAATCATTTTCTTTATTATTGTTACACACAAAAGCCACTGCAATTGACTCTTGTTCTGCATGCAAAATAACCACCTACACACCTCCTGTCAAAATCAGTCCAGTATAGTACAGTACAGTTCAGTATTCCTTTTCACCTTATAGTGCCAAGGAATTTTTTCCATTCTGCAATATTTTATATACATGTATATATATATATATATAATATCCTAGCGCATAACACTGACCGGAATATCCTCCATGCCAAGTAACCAAAACAAACTACACCTAATATTAAAGGCTGCTGGTCACGCCCACAAATTAAAGAACAGATTCTGGCAAAATTAAAAATATATATATACAATATATTGAAATTGGATCTTCTCAATATAGCTTCAAGTGTTATTAATTGATTCCCTGAATATTAATTATGAAAAAAAATTATAACAGTGCATAAAATAATATAACATAATGTTTATACCCCCTTTACACTGGACGGCGTCCTTTCTGCGACCATGAAATTTGGCATCACTGTGGTCTTAATAAGGAGACACGACCATTGATTTTGTATCAGATTGAATGCTCAATGATCGGTCAGTTGTCAGCACGTAAATTATTAATTTTTTAACTCTCAAATGAATCCGTACTGCTGGACGCAGAAAGGACACCGTCCATTGTAAAGGGGCCCTTAACAGCATTAATTATTGCATAAACCAATGCAGAAAATGTACATGGCTTCAGGTGGATGGGAGTTAAGTCAAAGTTGATAATGCTGGTGTTTGAGGTATAATAAAGCAAGGTGACAGCTATATGCACAGATACATCTGTGTCTGTACATAGTAACTGAACTGGATCACAGTCTTTGAAGGAAAGCTTGCTGGACATGCTTCCTCATGTTAGCAGTGTCACTGCTGTTGATACTTTCTGACTTTAAGTCCATATTCTTGGATAGGATGAGGGCATTCTGAAAAGAGTTAATTTAAAGTATTCAACATTATAAAATAATTTCAATAAGAAATGCAGCATAATGAGAATATTGAGCAGTCAATAACCATTACTTCTCAGTTGTTTAATAGTAATTCTTTTAATCTAGTTAAATTCCTTAAGGAAAGAAAATAGGTGGTATTTATATATTTCCTTCATACAATTCCAGTCGTCTAAAAATGCAATTATCAATATAATTTTCATGAAACAGTCCAAAAGTAACTCACAAGTAAAACAAAGAGACCACAGCTATGTCCATCATTTTGTTTTGAGGACTTCATTTGCCCTTTGGTCCAATTCTGGTTATCTTCCCCTCTGATCTTCATGTATGTTCTTAAAATTCAAAGAAAATAATATAGGTATGTATTGAACACAAATCTGTTTTTAAATTCCAAACTAATAATTGAATCCATTAATGTACCTGCAAACAAATAACTATATGTCAACAGTGTGGTTCTGTAAAATCATGCCATTTTTGATAGAATCTGGGAAATGCATTTAACTGCTTTCGGTATTCTGATACATTTATGTACTTATACATGTATGTGTAAGAAGCTTACCTCCATTTATCAATGTAGTGGTCAAATCTGCCGTCATAAAGGGAATCAAGTACAACAACAGTGCGAGTCTGTATGTGAGCTGCAAGCAACACCCAGTGATGTTGCACACAAATAGGTAGGAAAACCCATCTGTATTCAGAGAATTTCACCTGAATGTAATTGAAAAACTAATTAACAGTAATATTGCGCAAAGAGCAAGCAAGAAACATTTTGATATAGCCGTTTAACATGTATTACTCATGACATATTTAACATAGACTATTATTACTTTCATATGAAGAACAAGTGTATACTGAGCAAAAAGGTTCATTAGCTTGGTTGTTGGATAAATATGAAAATTCTCAGACACAAGCCTAAAATTTTCCGTACCGTTAGCTTACGTATACTGTATGCCTTTTCAACATCCTGAAATTATTTGATTGGCTGAAGGTTAGAATAAGATGGATGCAAGTTGGAAACTGTTTTCTAAATGCCTTGGCTACAAATCAGCCTTGACTTTAATATTATCACAGTGGCAGCAACACTGAAACCATGGGTACATTTTTTATCTTTAAAATAAATGCACTAAATGACTAGTGTGAAATCTTCACCTACATGTGGAAACAGGTATTGATTGAAGCGCCCTTGGTCTCAAAGGACAGCTGCATAGGAGGGTATTGTGAAAATACCTTCATGCTTTTCTTTGATGACATTCATATAAGCATTGATGACCTACAAAATAAATTGACCCACTTCATATATACATTTAAACCTTGACTCACAGGATCAGAGCAAGCACACACTGTGTATCCAATGTATAAATTTGATATTTTTTAAAAAAATAAAAATATCTGGTTGTACATAAAGAGAATATATACATCTAATTGATGGAAATTACTACTGTCAAGGTAATAGACATATCATAAATCATTTTAACTGTTGAAACTATCCCTTAATTATTCCTAAATTTGTTTAATTGTTGAGTACTTACTTTGTCATTCAGCCACTGGCTGCCTTGTAAAGTTTGCATATCTCTGTCATCAACCCATTCGTTACCAATGGTTATTCTCCCTCCATTATAAAGGTTTGGCCAAATGGTGGGGACAGAAATTCCCAGTCTGCCCATTAATGTGTTAGTATCTGCAAGTATTGTAGAAATAAAATTGCCTTTAAGATTATTTCACTGATATACAATTGAATGGAAACCATATCATAACCCATGCCAGACAAATGTGCACCTCCATTCTCATACAGTGAAATCCTATTACAATGAATTCAAATGAATACTAATTTGAAAGGTAGTTTTCCTATTGTGTCACTGAAGAAGTGGTAATACAATTTCACTAAAAATACTGACTAGTTTCAGCAAATGCAAGTTTGGGACAAATAAAAGGTGATTTAACATATGTCCAGATACTTAATTTTAGTAATAAAAACCTTTATGATATCTTGTATATACCTGACTTGGCTTCAGTGTTCTGTGGTGTTACAAGGACTTTCTGTTCTGCTGTAGCCATACAGGAAGGCAGTGGCACCTCTCCTTTTGAAGCCCTCTTTAATTTCGGTTTTAAGAGGGATCTCAGGCATTCTGCCTTTTTGCCCACTCTGTTGCTTGCTGGATGTTTAGCTGGATGTTTCGGTAGAGAGGCAAGACTGGATCCAGTGGACCTTTTAAGCTTTTTTTTTGGTGGTGGTTTAAGAGGGGAAGCCTCCAAAACTAGCCCCCCATCCCTCTTCACCATTTCTGACACCTCACTCAGGCACTTCTCCAGCGAGGACACCCATGTGGACAACTTCTCTGTGGGGACCTTCTTGTCGATCTTGTAGGACAGATCCACCATTTGCTTCAAAATCGATCTTGCAGATATCAAGGTGTTCTTCAATGTACTGCGTCGCAATGGCAAATTGAAAGACAGCTCATTTTCATCAACAGCAGTGTCAAAGTTGTTGTCCTCAGAAGACTCATGTGCCAGGGGCAGCTCTTGGGGATTGGTGGCGTTGATCAGTTCCCAGTCAAGATTCAATACAGGGTGGTCTCTGTAAATGCTGCTGATGTCATGCCACCCGTACCCTAGTTTTCCAGCAAACACCGCAAAAAAATGTTTGCAGAGCATCCTGGAATGCTGGAAACTAGGGCAGGTGCATGAGCAGCATTCACTGTCAGTACCCAACCTGACAGTATAGAGTTTTGAGCTGTCCTGCTCACTGGCAATTGTGAACTCTCCATCTTTTATCATTGTAACAGATGACACCTAGAATGTACAGACATATTTTACAAATCTTAGAGTTAATGAGATAACAACTCTTCATATTTCACAATAAAAACATTGTAAACAACTCATAGAAATACATCTTCTATTTATTATGAAATCTGTGCTTGCCATCAGACTTTGTAACATCCATTGAAGGCTACTTTGAAATAATCTACAAAGTGATTATTACCAAAAAATGTTTATCAGAAAAATTAGTAAAAAAATAGAAAACAGGGACTAATATTGTTTTTTAGCCAAAGAAAATTTATTTCATGGCTAACAGTCTTAACCTTAAATCACCTTCGTTCAGATTTAATCCCCCTCCCAATTAAGGTAAAAGTAATTATGTAACCATTAATCATATCCACTTCCTGACTCTTGTCATTTGTACAAACAAAGCATTCAAATGCTGTTCTAAAGTCACCTGTTTTGGGTTTATTAGTTGCATCTTCTGCCAGATGTCTTCAAATATGAATTTAGGCCTGTCCTGTAGCCAAACTGGTACTTGGGCAGACCACTTACGATACAAATGGCAGCTTTTAACATTGCCTTGCTGATATCTGCAAGAAAAAAACAAATATTACACATCAGAGAAAATATTTATAAAGATAATACATGAATATAAAGCAATACCGTTTTATAATAATCACTGGTTATCATTGGTCATGACAAAACAATGTTTCAATCTGTGCAATTTGAGATCTATCACATAAAAATGCTTTTCCATATGTATTGATTTAAATGGATGGCATTTGGACTGAAATTTGAAATGAAATGCTTCAAACTGCTCCATCATGTAAGCCATCTGATTTAAAATACTCAAATTATTATTGAAATTTAATGTCAAATGTGCAAATGCTGTGCAGGGTTCAAATGTGAAATGTGCACCGATCCTTTTGGTGATGCAAGTGATATTAGGTAATGTAAGATGGCATTTACAAAGAGTTGAATACTTTAAAAACTTGCCCACTGTAAGAGGATTAACCATTATTCTAGTGCCATCTCAGAGTACTCGAGTCTTTTCATGCATAAATATTGGTCAGAAAATGGTTATTCCTCTGCCAAACATGGTCAAGTGCATATATATGTCAAGCCTTATACAATAAGGATTATTAAAAAGATTCATCAATTTGGTGAGAGATAGTAGTAATAACACTTTTTGTCACAAATTCCCCTTCACCGAAAAACTGACAAAGATTAAAGTTGGTCCAGCAAAATGTCTCACGCAAGTAATTTTTCAGTTTGTGACAAAGAGAATTATTATGATGACATATACAATGTGCATGGATGTAATTGAATGTTATTGCTAAAACTACCATATACAGTAAAAAGAAACACCATCCACCCCCAAAATAGAATATAACACAGGTACAATACTAGGAGAATGTATTTTCAAACAAAAAGCATTATAAGCATTGCTAAATTCCCCTCACAAAACAATCCACTCATTCAAAAAACCATGTATGTGACTGTAGAGATAGCAGATATTCAAGGAGGCGATAGTTTATGAATTAATGTATCAATAAGCAAATAGAAAAAAAGCACAGGAAAAGCCAACACCAATTTTACCTTCAAAAGCACCTGGACATCCTGGAAGTTCAAAGTTTGTAAATGAAAACTGATATCTTGAATTACATCAAAGATAATTGGATAAAGTATACAATATTATAAAATAATACATTCGCAAATATGATTTCATATTCTATAGTGTATATCTTTAACTGTTATTTAATTGAGATAGTGATTAATAACCAATTTAAATGTGAATACCTTTGGTACTTAGCCGGTAAAAACTGATTCATAAGAACATGCAGCAGTTCACTCAGGGAACACTGACGTCTTTTGTCTAGATAGCCATGCTTCAAGTCTTCATTCATCCTTTCAACACCATTGTTAGTGTTCACAGCCAAGATTAGCTTTGGTGGGCGATAAGCGTGACTCCATCTCTGAAATTTAACTAGTTAAATAGATAACAAGTCTTTGTATGACATAATTACTTCACAATAAATACACTGTAAACAACTCAATGTCATAGAAACAAAATATATTCTATCATAAAATTGCAATAATTCAGAAATCTTTGCTTGCCATCTGACCATGTGACTTCCATATGAAGAGATAATCACAAAGACAAAAGGGGAAAACAGATACTAACTTTGATTGTAGGTATAGGTTCAGTAAGCATTGGTTAATATAGGAAAATTGTCCAAAATCAACAGTTGTTATCATTTTAAGTTATGTATTGAAAATGTTGGATTGATCCATGACATGAAGACAAGAAATCTCTGGCATTTTACACAGGATTCTTCAAGGACCATAACTTAGTTTATTTTAGATATATCATTGTGACATCTTGTTTAATTTTGATATTTCTTGTTGGAAGAACATGTCATGATATCAGACACCAACTGTAATAAAACAAATAACAAAATACAATAAAATTACTTTTATCTCTGGCATCCATATTTTGCTAAGCCAGTGCTGAAGCTTACTGTTGGACTGGTAAACTTTACTGGAATGAAGTGCATTGACAGCACTCTTCAATTCCTCCTCAGTACAAGCAGTAGCCATTTTTCTCAAATGTTTTTTTACTCCTTCCACATTATCTGGATTGGCTGCCACGCCATTGGACCCTTTGTTCAGCCATCGCACCCAGGCTTGTTCTCTATGGAAATCACACAGATACACCTGGATACCTAAAGTAAGAAAAGGCAAGTGTGGATGTGGATATATCTTAAGGCTGAGTAAAATATAAAATGTGCATACTTATTCTGTAAAAATTTATCAATAATATTCAAATAATTTTCTGCAATATGCATTTATCATTACCTAAATATACATCTTCCAAGGCTAAAATTTCCTCAGAAGCAAAATCAACCATTCCATACTCGGGTATCACTTCTGGAGTCCTATTTCTGATTATGGTAAGAGCTTCAGCAATACTTTCTCTCGTTTCTTGCTGCACAACAAAAAATGCAACAACCTGGAAAAACATTTATGTACTTATGAAAAAATAAATACATGTCCAAAAATATTTAGCATCTTTCATACAAACATATTGGTAAGACCTGGTTTTAAATGGCATATTCTGAAGTTCAAAAACAAGATCTCCTTCATCAAAGACAGTACAACCAGATTGGTTTGAATATAATGTGTGTGAATATGGTCCTGTGCTAAAAAGTTAAATCCAAAATCACAAATGTCAGATAACAATTACAGTGTTCCTAATGTAACTGACTGAAAGAATTAACATTTCCCTACATATTTTCAGCTGAAAAAGATAACTGGGTATAAAGTATATTTCAATGAATATAAGTAATGTACGTCATTCTGAAAGATAAAGTTACAAGAGAAAATTTTAAGTAAAAAATGAAATGTCTAGCCACCTTTTTGGCACAAGGCCACATGAAAATGATTCACCAAATTGCATCAAAAATGAAAAGAAATTGATCAGGAAAAGACATCACCAATCATGAATGTATGGAGAAACTTATCCAGATATACATGTAAGAGAAACATGCGACAAGAACGAAAATTGCCATCACCAGGAACTCTGCAAGTCTATAAATTCCAAATGTCCATCTTTTTACTATTTATATATCACTACAAAATGTTTTGAATGAAATTCTTACTTTAAAATACATCCATACCTGATAATCCACATTGGTGCGGACTACAAGAAAAAATAATGGCAAGGCATATCTACAAGTTCTGTATGTTGCATCTAACAGAAGTGTCTGTCCATATATTCTGTACAGCCTCTGCATTTCAGGTGTCTGAGGAGAAATAACTTATGCTTTACTAATGTATAAGTATACCAATTCATAATCTTAAACATTTGTTAGTATCATACATACATAAAAAATAGTATAAAAGCATTAATGGATTAAATGAATGTAACACATGTAATGAATATTTAAATCAACAAGTTAGCATGTACTAAAAGACATATGCCACCCATTCCATCCACAAGGTAAAATTCAGTACCTGATAAACAAACAGGAGTTTATTTCCAGGCATCTTGCATTCCCTGACATCTGACAGTTCTTCCATATCCACGACAGGGTCATCATCCAAGGTGTCCTCTTTCACGGAACTGGGTATATCTTCAACCGTTGATGAACACCCACGAAAAAAACAAAGATACTCAGATGGGACCTCTTGCAGCATTTTCTCCACATTCACCTGGTCTATTTTTGAAAATCTCTTCTGTAGTTTATATTTGGTGATGAGGTTAGCAAAATCTACTGCATGAGGGAAATATCTGTAAATAAGATGAACAGCAAAACTGGTAATTGCTATCCGTAAATAAAATGAACAGCACGGTGAAGATGCTAGGTAAATATTAAATAGTATATGAGCAGACTTGTGACAAAAAGGGGAGAGAGAGAAAAATTATTTCAAAGTTATTTTATGTAACAGTATGTGGCCCTATAAAGTTCACTTAGTACCAGTTAAAAATCTGCTAGTCAGTTAATGTTGTACCTAAGGATAGGTATGTCCCTAAATTTCTAAAACATAAAAGAAAAAATTAATTTAATTTCTGAGGTTATATAGGTAAATAATCATACCTTCTTCTACTTTTTGGAGGTGGTTCCTTTCCTTGAAACATCTGGTTAACAACATACTCCCTAACACAGGCCTCAAGTTCCCGTCTGCTCCTGAGACCATTTTCAAGGAGCTCCAAGACCTTGCTCCTCACCATTGGATCTACAGGTTCACTGTAGCCACCCATCTAGACAACAGATGTAAACATTTGGAATGACAAGTATCATATAGCAAATCACATCATCTTGTACATGCATGTATTGCACTCTACTCCAGGCCATACTATGAAAATTCTCTGCTACATTTTGGATGGTAGTATTTGTCTTTCTAATGGTATGTGCAGTTTAGCTATATGTATCTACCTGCTGGTGTTAACTATCCATCCAATTTAAAAATTTGTAATACTTATTACCTCCCCAGTTAAGTGGTATTGGTGTTCCTCTTTGGATGGTATATATATTAAGTACTGAACATCTACGGCCAGAGATGACTTCATTTGAAGAGCTTTTTTCAACATTTTCAAAGCCCCTTCCTTGGCTCCTCTAGAATTGGTTGACACCTACAATATAGTCATTAAATAGGCAATCATTTATACATTTAATACTTATTATTTATAGTGTACTTGTACAAGAACTCAATAACAATTGCACAGCTTACACTACATAGTGAAACAAATAGAAAATCAAAAGCATCATTATAATTTCCTTTGGCTTTAAATAATAGGATCTAAAATAAAGTGCAAGAGTACATGTACAGTTGCATTAAGCATATGAATGCATAACAAAACTATAACAATTAACTGAACAGAAATCATCCTAAAACAATGAATGACTAGATGTATACTTACCTTGAAATCTGGAAACTTGGCAATTTTTTTAATCTCAATTCTTGCCTTACAACCCATCTTTTTTGTGGGTTGCTGCAGGAACCGGTTTTTAATGAAAACATGGTCTTCTTTCTAAAAAAAATTTGAAAAAAAAATCATAAACTACATACTGTGTAATGCAGAATAACAACGTAATAAGAAGCAGCATAAAATATTTTCTCACTAAAATTAAAGTAGGAAATATAGTATACATGTACAGTAGCAAAAATAACAAATGAATGACTAGCTCTTTACCATCAGTTTTTCCTTTTTTTCTTTCCATCTTTTTTTCATGAATATTCCTTTATCTCTTCCATTTTGGCACAGGAAGGTCTTTTTGCCCAGGAAAACAAATGGAATTCCATCATACTTGATTGAAAAATCACCATTTTTAGCAGCAATATTCCAGAATATTTTTTCATCTCCATGTAAGCTTATTTCTGAAAGATTAACAAATATATCACATAAATAGTTACGTATTAACATCAGGCATGCTGTGGTAAGGGATTATATGGATTGTACATGTATGTTTCCAAGCTCTACAAGGTTATATTATACACTGAGTGAATGTTAATTCATGTTCATATGTGTATTTGGAAATGTACAACAAAATTACATTTTTGCCATAAAAAAGATCCCTTCTGATTAAAATTTTATCTAGGTACACGGAGGTTTCACAGAAAAAGGTTCACTTTATCAACAAAAAAAAAGACCCCCCCCCCTCCTCCACTTTTGACATTGCTGGGAAAACTAGTCTATTGCATTTATGTATGTATCCGGCGTTGTTTACGTTTAAATGAACTCTTACCAGATTCAAATCTTTTCTTGTCTCGCTTGTCTTTCACATAATGAAATGCTGTCTCTTCCTCGTGTCTACGAATAAGTTCAATTGCATCGCTAAAACTCCTCACGGTCACTGCCATCACAGTCTGAACATTTCCCGCGAAAACATCGATGTTGTTTTGGTATCATTGACGTCATCAGCATATGATAGGACGCAAGTAGTGCCGACCGTCAAAGTCCCTTTAAATATAGGTCATTTGTNTTTGGCACACGGCAAGCACATGTATTGTGCACGTGTATATCTCAGGACTAAATGTTCTTTGATACGCAAAACATTGGATATATCTTTTCTTTCCGAAGAATATTATTTTTTTTTCACTTTACATCTTGAATACAGTAAATAAAATTAAATAAAGCAGAATTAAATTTGTTTTACGTTTTATTTTGGTCTGATGACATTCAACTGCAGATTCACTGCGGAGCAGTTCTATTTGATTGACGGAAACCTAACATGGCCGCTGGTCTTCAGTGCTAGTAAAAGCGACTCCACCACAAGGTATATTTAGCAAGCTAGCTTTTACGTTGCTCTGACACTCAGGGTACTAAAACTCTGTATTTTCGTAAATATGATGGTTTTTCATATCAATGTTTATGCTTACATTGTACACATATTTCATTGTGACTAACAATTCTGACATAAAGACGGACTAAATGCATATGAAAACTAAACTGAATGTTCTAACACCTAGATAATGATCCATAATAAGTTCAAAAAGACAGGAATTCAATAAGAATTTAATTTTACCAAGAATTCAATGCTTTTTGGAAGCTTAAGTCAGTTAGCGTTATGGTGGATCTTTCTTTCTTTTTTCCTAACAACTTTTTCAAGTTCATTCCAAACTGTTCTGGAGTTAACATCCTTCTCTTCCCTCCATCAGTATTGAATATCCTGAAGACAGGACTACAGTTAGGCAGTGATAAGGATGTGTCTCTAGCGTATGTGACCCCCTCCCCCATGAAATTATGACTCCCCCTACAGAACTTTATAAATCTTATTTTATTTGAGTATATGACTTTTATCTTGTAGTATGCATAATAGAGGATACATTAGCACCTTTTGGTGAAAGTTTTCATAGGAATAGAAGAAAATTAAAAATGTGTATTCTACCAAACAATGAATCCCCTAGGGAAAAGCTGTTTATTTGATATTTGGTGATCATTTCAATTTTCACCAATATTTTTACCACCAAACTTTCAAATACTAAAAAAATATACGTCACAATGCCAACTATGTGGAAAATAATGGTATGGTGACTAAATATAAAATGGGGTTTTTCTTCATAGGAGTCCAAATGGATATGAAAATGGAGATTTTTCAAGTTTTTTTTCATTTTTTCAACCAATATTTTACAATCAAACTTTCTAATATTTCCAATATATTCTTAATTAAGAATACATAAAGGAAAGGTATTGAAATGATCGTCAAATATCAAATAAATGGCTTTTTCATAGGGTAGTCTTTGGGTTGTATAAGTCATATACTCAAATAAAATCAGATTTATAAAGGTTTGTAAGGGGGGGGGAGTCAAAATTTCATGGGGGAGTCAGATTTTCATTATGAAATTTTGACTGGGGGAGTCAGATTTTCATGTTACACCGGTATTCAGTAGAAACAGTTTTCCTTAATTTGCTAGTTTCCCTCAAGCCACAGCCTTTAGTTTTGGTTTCTTCCTCAATCTTTGATCCGTGTCACGACACTGCCGTCCCATTTCAAGGTTGTGGACAGGGGTCTTATCCATGTTTTTACACTGATCAAACACAGGATATTCAGCTGGATATTCACCAAATTCATAGTATTTTCCGCGTTTCATAGCCAGAACCTTTGCCATTTCTGGTAAATATCTTCTTTGTCAAAGCTTATAATGCACTCATTCAGATGTGCACTAGCACATCGTTTCACACTCTCAGCTACATAGTTCTCTTTCACTTCCTGGAATAATTCTTGGTTGAAACAGGAAAAGTCAGGAGCGTCTAGCTGAAAGATATTCTCATTTACCTCATTTCTACTCAGCTCTAGATGTAATGATTGAAACTTTTCTTTCAATTTGCTGTGTGTTGCACCCCTGGGTATTGTTAAAGCATGAAACTAATTAAATGCTACACCAGCAGCAACTATTCTGATATATTCCAATGCCAGAGCATCTCTTACAAGACAAGCTAGATGTTATCATTTTCTAACCAGTTATTCAGTAATACAGTATAAAAACCCTAAAAAGATAATGAAATCATGAGAACTCTAAAAGGAAAAATGTCATCAAAACTATGAAAAATGAATTACCATGATGATGTTATTGATATAAGGTGTCAATACCGCCATGATTTTGAGTATTTAGCAACCTTTCAAATAAATTTTGTACGCAAATTTCTTAAAAACCAAATTAAAAAACCCATCTATTTGGCTTTGTGAGTTTGAAATAACTTGTCAGGCCTATATAACTTTCATTCCTGTTGTAGGAAGACAGTCCCGAAACAGTAGAAAATCTTGTAAATCGCGCTAAAATGCTAAAAATCGCGCAATCAAAAAACGCAAGTAGCAGCTGAGTTATCAATAATCTTTCAAAAAGAACATTTGAAATATTGTTTTAGGCGTGTAAGGAACTTTTTACCTGGTTTTGACATATTATTTTTGGAATTATGGACCCCCCCCTGAGGCTATGGTGTCGTCACTAATCAAAGTAATAAGCGATGACGTAATCCCAGATTAAAAGAAAAGACATAGTTAAACAACCAGAAAACACCAATGTTGGATGAGAGTAATGTTGCAACTCTTGATCTTACCTTGGAGGACCAAACTGACATACAGAATTAAACATTATAACAATTTTGACTTTATCTATTGGCCATTATGTTCTTTGCAAGCATCTGTCCTTAATTGTGCATGAACCTTGGAGATCTAGCAGTTATTACCAGAGTAACTTAAAGCAATAATAACTCTTCGTTTCGGCCAAAAAATTAATTTTCCTGGAGTAAACAACAATTTTCCCATACTTACCAACGGTTAATGAATCCATTTTTACATTCAAAGTTAGTCCCTGTTTTTTTTCTAAAAAGTTTGTTTTTTTATAAAATCTCTTAAGAGATTTTAACAGAGTATAGACATCAATGGAGGTCACGTGGTCTAAAGACAAGTTCAAATATCAGAATAAAAGCTATAACTGCTGTTTTTGTGGTAAAACAGAATATATTATATTTCTACGGGTTATTCACAAGGTTTTTATTGTGAAATATAGGTCTCATACGAAGAGTTATTATCCCTTTAAGAAAAATATAAAGCTCAAATAAAGACATTTTGTAAGCACAAGCAACTTTTTTAAATTATGTTTTCTAGCCCAACCAACATAAGCAAACCGCTGGTTTTAAAAACGTCAGATCTTCGAAAAGAGGCACAGGATCCAAGAAGCCAGAAAACATACCCTAAATTATGCAAACATATTTTGGATGTATGTGAACAGGCGGAACTATCCAAAGAAAATGATAGGTCGCCAGTCGACATCCGCAGAGTAGTGTACAAGACTACTGACAGTTCATTTGGGGCATGTATTGTGTCAAAAGAAGAAGGCGCTCAGATAAAAGTAGGCTCGGTTAGTTTATATCTACCCCCAGACTCAATGCCAACTGATGATTTGTATTTGGTGTACCTTTACGTAGAGGGAGATCCTAGACAAGGTTACAATTTTAGATACGGACCACATGGGCTGAAGTTGAATCGTGCTGCAGTTATTTCGTTTCCAACCAACGGCTATTCGATTTTTCGGCAGACCGATACGAGTTTGTACGAACAGAATAAATGGGAAACAAACAATTCGTTATGCTCGATTGATGGGGACACAAAGAATGTCTCTTTAGAACATTTTGGTGGAGGGCAGGATACAAGTGACCACGAACAAGAAGGCAGAAAACGCCTTACCAGATTGATGCTGGTTTTATTTGGAACGAAGTCACTGCAAAAACACGGTAACAACATCCAAGTGTGCATAATCCGAAAAGAAAATTATGAAGTAAGTCTTTATACATGTACCTATACAGGGGCGTAACCAGACCATTTAAAATTGTACGCACAGATTTTGAAAATTCCCAGGTACAATTATATTCCGTGAAAAATACACTGAATTTATGGAGAATAATATCATGGTTGGCTCAAAAAATTGTACGCACAGTGCATCCGTGCGTATGCCTGGTTACGCCCCTGCCTATATACAATAGATTGAACCGTCTGATTGCTAACTTCTATTTTACAACCTCATACAAATCCTGTATTCTATACTAAAAGTACATAGTGTGGTGTCAAACAGAGTAGATCAAGAAGGGTTAGACGTTTTATTGGAACCGTTGGTTAACTTAAATAACTGACTGTTACTCTGACGTTTGTTTTCTCATTAATTTAGGAAGTCAAAAGGGAGAAAAAGGACAGCTTGCACCCTGACTGTATTTCACAGAAGACCTACAACGGTATGTTTGACATGAAATACATCACCATCACAGCGAAGATATCTACTGAGAAGGAAGCGAAAGTTGAGGTTGTTATTGATCTTTTAATCACTCTATAATGTTTGTACATTAACAGAGAAAAATATATACACTCTCGCTGAAAACGGTAGGTACACTTTAATTTTGGGATGCATTTGGGCCTTTTTCTTTCATCATTGTTATTACCAAAATTAGTGCTAAATATGTGAAGATGGTGGATTAGTAAAGCCAAAGAGAAACAAGCAATGTAAGTCCTAGATAAGCGTTCATTTATTTAGAAATGAATATTTTAACATAAAGGTAATAAGCGAAAAATTAACATAAATTTGCACAGTGGTTGACAATTAATATAACATTTGGAAAATTTGTTATTAAACACCGTCAAACTTCATTATTAATCTCAGTAGCGGGTATGCTAACCTCGAGCTGGGATTATGGCAGCCAAACGGCGTGGCATACTAGGAAGTATAGATTTTTTTTTTTTTTTTTTTTTTTTTTTTTTGATACAATAGAAAAGGGGACTCATCAGCAAACACCACATGATTCCAATGTTGGCCCGTAAGTTACAGTGCTGCCGCGCCCACTGCAACCTGTTTGCTTGTGGTTTGTTCGCCAGTTCTTCTTGAAGCGTAGTCTTGTACCAACAGTGACACGCATTACACACCCCAGGCACTCCAGTC